GTGGAACATTTAAACCAATATTGACCAAAAAACCAACGGGAGCAATATGAAAGATAATCATTGAATTACAAGTCATATCATGAGAGTCTTTTCTTCACATTTTCCCCCACCCCTTTATATGCGGATTTAAGATTAAAAACATTGAGAACAATGTCTTATTTAAGTTTTGGAGTGGAAAACATGAATTTTCATTTTTTAATGTATTTTTGCATACTTTTATTATTTTAGTAAAAAACAAAAAAAAAGAAATTGTTTGCTTGTGTGAGTTAGTTGGCTGGCTGACAATAATAAATATATTGAATCATGAATTGATCTATGAATGGTGAATAAGTTATATGCTTTGATTATTTTTTACTTTTCTATGTAAAATTTGATATATATTGAGCACATCAATTAAATTAAGCAAGGAATGAGTTGATTTCATAATTGAATATGTTGAAATAGTGGACCATAGATGCTAAACCCAAAATTACTAAATTTTACATTATTGGACAAAATTTAGAATAGTTTGGGAGGATTTCACTGTTGTTGGAAAATGTTGAAATAAATAGGGATTTCATGTGTGAAATTAAAAATCTTGTGTGAATTGTCTAAACTCAGTATGATGCAATTGAGTAAAAATCTCAAGTTAGAGGTCTTTTACTTGAATTGGTGTTCAATAAGAGACATTGACTCAAGGCATTAAAAAAGTATTTTTTTTGTTAGAAAATTTTTTTTCGTAACGTTTATGACTCGAGCAATTAAACCTGCAAGAGTCTTTAAAACATGGTACCCTATGGTTATCTGACTTGAGAATTATCGATCGGAAACTTGTTACATGAGTCATTTAGAAAGTTTAAGGGAGAAAATGCTTCAAATAAAGAAAAATTCATTCTAAAAAAAAATTCAGAAAAAGCGGATGTATAAAACAGAAGATGTACCAAATGTCTTGGTTAAGTATTAAGGCACCGTTTGGTAACCATTATTCTAGAAAAAAATGTATTTTTTGTGTCAAATCACACCTTTTTTGTGGTTGAAAATGAAGGAAGAGTTATTGATGTGATGGAAAATATTATTTTATTGATGAATGTGTGGTTGAAAATTAGTAGAAGAATGAGAATGAAANTGTTGTTGAAAATTAGTAGAAGAATGAGAAAGAATAAAAGAATTGTTACCTATCGTTGCCTTAACATTTGTTTAAGAAAATTTGTCTTTTCATAAGAAATTATTAGCCTAATTAAGTTTCAGAGATTGAAACAATCAAACTTAATGGAAAATCCTTGTTTATTGAAATGTTGAACTACAATTGGTGAAATTTTGCCAAACTAGAGAGGGGGATAGTAAAAAAAAAAAATCTAACCTTAGTTTACACACTGAAAAAGAGTGAAAAGTATAAGTTTGGGGTTGTGAATCTTACGAGCGATGAAATAACATATTTGACCATTGAGGGTTTGGAATTGAAACAACTTATGAATTCATAATACTATACTTAATTCTTCACACACACGTCGATTTTACATTGGAAAAGTGAATTTTAATTTTTTTATTGTGATTTTGAAGTTGTGCATAGATTTGTTATTATGATTTCAACTTTAAGATAAAAAGTCATGTTAGCTAGCTAAGTCTTGTTGCTTTACTTGATTGATTGGCCACTAATTATGTAATTAACATTATTTGTTTGTGTGTTTGTTAGGTTTTAATTTTGTTTGAAGACAAACAAAGATTCAAGTTTCAGTGTGTAATAAATTTAGTTTATACACTTATTCATGACCCTAAATTATGATATTTTATCATTTTTTGGATTAAATTCTACCTAATTTATGTTATATTGTGTTTTGTAGGTAAAACTTTATGTTTAAAGAAGAATTGGAGAAAAGAATCCAAAAGGGATGAAAATGACAAAATTTAAAAATGAAACATTAAAGAGAAATATTACATTAAATGAGTTTCAATAGACTTAAATTGATTTTTTTAATTGGAAACTCAAATTATATATATATATATATATATATATATCAGAAATGATCTAATGAGTAC